AGTAACTTGAAGTAACTGAGTTACTTTTGATAGAAGTAACTAGTAATGTAACTAAGTTACTATTTTAAAGTAACTTACCCAACACTGGTTATAACTCAGTAGAAAGTAATTTAAGCCGAGTTTGCAAATAAACATATTTAAGGTAACTTACTTTCAGGCATTGACTTAACACTTGGAGTATCACTGTGAAGGATTGCAAACAGGAACACAGCTTACATCATGAGGTGATAACCAAAAACCGACCCAGAAGTACCCTCTCTCCCTCTGGAGCAGCAGCACAGCACATCAAACTCATGCTTATGTCATTTCCCATAACCTCACTCAGAACAATATTTCAGGAACATAAAATCTCAGAGCCTTTTATACAGTGTTAGCCCTGTGATAGACACCTGACCTCTCCAGGGTCTCTATTTTTTTACAAAAGGCTAACACATAGAGACAGACAACCATTCAACTCACAACCACGGGGAATTTAGAGTTACTAATTAACCTATCGCCACTAACTGCATGTCTTTGAAATGTAGGAAGAGGCCAGAGTACCTGTAGAGAATGCACACAAACACGGGGAGAACATGCAAACAGAAAGACCCCGGCCTGATGGTGGAATTGAACTCAGGACCTTCTTGGGATAGTAGGAAGGATAAGCGGTAGAGAATGGATCGATAGTTTTCTTGTGTTTGTGACTGTAAATAAGATAATTTACTTTCTTTATAAATTACTCTGTACAGTCTGTATCATTAAAAAGACACCAAACAGATTGAGTAAGGGGACACAATGGTTGGAAACATGTTGCTCACAGTGTGAAACGTCAATAGTTTTGTCACTTTTACCAACAAAGTGTTGCAGAAACATCAACATCTGTCTGTCTGTGTTTTTTTCTGACAGATGATCAAATCTGAGATGGAGAAGACTGGATTCATTCAGAAGCTGATGGAGACACTTCTTACACTGGACTCAAAGCTCAGCATCTCTCAGCACACAGAGGTAAACATGAACATATGTGATGCTGTCATCCTCCCAATGATCACAGACCTGTGCACTTATATTCCTGCAGTTTTGTCCAGCAGCAGTTTGTGTGTCATTAACCAAACACAACTTTGA